CTCCCCCCGGCACTGCCGCTCCCGGAGGCTTCCCGGCTGGAATCCCTCCGAGCCGAGGGGCGGGAAGGGGCACAGGCTCGGTGGGTGCTGCCCCGCTGGGGCCCTGTTAGGATGAACCGCCTCGGAAACAAGGGAAGGGCGCTAAAACCGCTCCTGGTGCGGCAGGGGCTGAGATGCGGGGCAGGGATCAGCGTGAGCAGCTGGGAGAGAAGCGCAGCTCGTTGTTGTGCTCGGGGTGCGGTTCCACGCAGCTTTTTCTGGCTTGGGAGGCAAATCAGTTGTGAAAACAACGCGCTTTTTTGTCCTTTTTGTTTTATTTTTTGGGGACTCTGGTGTGAGTTGCTGGTAACACAAGCTGCCCCTGCATGTGCAGCGCGTTAGGCTAGGAAAAGAAGGAAATATCTAAGCTGCAGTTGACATTTTTAGACTTTTCTGATTGTTTTTTTCTATTTCTAGTTTGTCTTTCCTCCACAATAAGGATGTAAAAAAAAAAAAGTCTGTATTTTTGGAAAAAATATTTTTCCATAAGTTTTTCTGTCACAGCTTCTATAGAACTAAATTTCTAACAATGTTTGTTTTGTTTTGTTTTTTTTTTTTTCTCATTTTGCTTATCAGCCCCGACTGCAAGGGCTGGTGAAAAGACTGCCCCTCTCTGGAATTGTTAAGTGTTTAGTTCTCTAACCTGGCAGTTTGACTTTAGACTCGATTTAAAGATCTGTGGAGAAAATGGGGGGTCTTATTTCATTTCCAAATAGTAGGTTTATAATCAATGATTATACAAAGGAATAGGCTTTTAATTTTTTGAGTAATAGCTTATAAAAATTTAATATAATATGTGTATAGCAAGTTTTATTTTTCATGTATATTTGCATGTGTGTTTATGAAATGGCAGGAAGGTCTCTAATTAAGCTGTTAGTGATGCTTTAGTTTGCTGCTGGTTGGAACAGTCTTGCACCAAGCTGACTGGTTAGAGATAAGGTTTTTTTATCAGCCTTTATTTACTTATAAAGCTGAAACTCCTTCTTTGGGAATTTAATATACTATTTAATATTGTGTTGTTACAGTTGATAGCTATTCTCAAAATAAAAACTAGACTAAAACTGAAAGTCTCTTGATGATCCGAGTAGCTGTTTTAAGTTTCTAACCTGAAATTGAGGCTAGTAAGGCTACAGGTCAGAAACTTCTTTACATCTGTGATTGGGTTTCAGCATGGTTTGGGGTACCTGCTGGGGAAAATATACTTCACGTAGTAGTATAACTGAAGAGGGAAATGAGCTCCAAACAGAACTAACAAGATACAAGACTTGCTACTTGAAGCAGTTCATAGAATGAATTAAAAACAAAAATATCCATTCTAAAAACATCAATTTCCTGGTTAGAAACAGTGTTAGTTTTTGTTTATAACTGTGGTGCTTGCTTAGCTTTTTGTAAGCAGCTAGTTTATTAATACTGAATATTCTGTTGGGTTAAAATTAATATATGCTAGATAATTGTGAATATTACACTTGCAGACACCAAGAATACTGAAGTGTAGCTTGCACTGTGGAGCTTAAAAGTTGAGTGCATGTGTAGGTTCAAATTGCATCTCATTCCTACTGTTCTGAGACCATCTACTTTTTCTAATCTGATAGCACTTCACAGATTTTTCAGTTTGTTTTGTTAAAGTAATAGTGAAATAACCTTGAAATAGCAGTACAGTGTTGCACAAGCTAACTCCTGTGCAGGGAAGGTGTTATCCCTTGGAGGAGGTGATGAAATAGGTTTTATTTCTCCTCAAACCTCAGTTTGCTGGAAATACAGAAGTTGAAATTGCCTTAGAACTGTCAGCACAGCTGTCTGAAAAAGGTTTAGCTTTTTTGTGAAATTAAACTGTCCAACAGATTTAGGTTGAATAAAGAAGTGAGGTCAACTTAAAAATCACTTCTGTCTGAGATTATATACTTAAATAGCAAAAAATGACGAAAACTAGTACATAATATGTCATAAGTGGCGGTGAGACTAGAAATAAGAGTATTGTGGTTTTTCAATGAAGCTTTAGATCTAAAGTGTCCTTAAAAATGTCTGAAAGGAAAATGTAGTATAAAAGACTAGAGGTTTTTCAGTGAAGTCTATATATTTGAAGTCACATGGGTCTTAGTGAAAACACTGATGGGTTTTTTACTGAAGATGGAAAGTTTTCATTAACTTGACTGCTAAATCTGAAGTTTGTTTCCAAGCCTGAGACTTAAATAGGGAAGGGAAAACTCAATATAATCTTAGTGTATGTCATACAGAGTTGTAATAAAAGAATCTTGGAATTATATACTGCAATTGTTTTTGTCCTGGTTTAATTGTTATAATTGAATCCTTCATCATTTTAATGCAAGACTTCAGAGGTAATGTTTCAGCCTCCCTTTTGTTCCAGCTGGGCTTCTGTATTGAAACACTAGCGTTTTTGCCTTTAATTGGTACCCCCTAGGCCTGGTAAACTGTCTGGTGACTTTCATTGTAAATACTCTATATTCAAATTCTTACTGGTCTAAAAACTAGCTAATTTGTTAGTGCTACCTATTGTCAAGAGTATCACTTCTGACTACTTAAATGTTCTCTGTTTACAAATGTGGTAAAACTCAATAGCCGCCTTCAATCTCTTAATGTATGAACATGTTCTCTTGAAAACTGACTGACTTGTTTTTTATAGCTAGGGATTTGCCAAGCTTTACCATTTAAAAGCAAAAAAGAAAAGTATCTAACTGCGGGCTCACTAAAGCTCATTCTGGTCAAGTTGAAATGGACATGTCTGTGGAGGTTGTATCTAAATTCAGTTTCAGTTGACTTTAAGAAAAGTGTGTCTAGAATAGCTGTCTTGTTACATGGAGGAGAATGAAACTTTGCATGCCATGATTTTGTGTGTTGTGTTACTGGACAAAACTGGAGTAGTTTCTATGTACTTCTCTTTTCTGGGGAGGTGCAGTGCCAGGTACTTGAGCAGTTGCTGCTGCAGAACTGCCCAAAATTAATTCTGCATTTTGGCTGTGCTATAGTGATTTGTGCTGTTCTGTGTCTGAGCAGTGAGGTACTGGTGCATGTAGCTTCCAATTTTTTTTCTTTCTCAACTGAAATTTAGAATCTGTTTTGTATATGCATTAAATTGCTTTTCTAACTTCAAACACTAAAATTAGGCCTTGCTAGATTGTAAGAAATACCTGAATTGAAAGGACATTTTTTTCATGCTGTATATGTGCTTTTAGCAGATAATTAAGTTTGTACATGTGAAAAAAAACACAACAGCTTGACATCAGTACAGTAGATATGGGCTCTCCTAGTCATCTCATCTGAATGCTGTTCTTGGTAGTGTGGAAGTTTTTGGAGTTCTGCCATACATTTGATAGCAGTAGCATCAAGCCTCAAGCATAACAGCTTTGACTTGGCTCTAATGAGGCAGTGCTGCCAAGAAAGAGGAATGTGTGGAGATAAGCCCCTTGCCATGCTCCTTTCCTGTTGTTGCGCACAAAGAATCATGTAATGTTTGCTTCAAATAAAGTAAACTGTGGAGCCTTTAAAGTTATGAGCAGTAGATAAAAGGTGGGCTATCTAGAAATAACTTTCTTTGAAGTGTTTTTCCATAGGATTGTGATGACAGTGTTAATGTTATCCAACAGGAGAAATGTGCCCTTGCTGGACTCCAGCTTGAAATATCTGCTTCAAACGTCAGCCAAGTCCTTGAAATTCTAGGACATTGTTATAATTGTTAGTATAATGCTTGCACTTCACTAGAGTTTATTTTGAATATGCAGCAAGGTTATGATGATTGAGATTTTGAAAGTCGAGGATGATGCATAAGACAGTAGATACTTAAAAGCAAAGTCAGGAGGACATAGTCTTTATGGCTTTGAGTCTGCAGGCAGCCAACAAAGCACATTGCTGAGATCAGCTGTTCATTCAAAGCTGGCATCTCACTAACAGGAAATTGTTAGTGTGTGTTTGCTCTGCTTTGGGGAAGCAGTCTAAAAGCTTACTAATTCATCGTTCTGAATTATTAAAAAAACCCCAACAACTCGATACCCTGGTCTCTCTTACTAGTAAATAACCGTAGTATTTATGTATGTGGAGTAAGTATTCTGATGAGCCTAGCCTTGTGCCTTCATTAGGCACTTTTGTACTCAATCAGAATATTTTAACTAGTCAGTCTTCTCAAAGCTTGTGTGACCACGAGTGCATTTTTAGTAGTTTGGCCTGAATGGCCTTATGTGTGCTGTGCTTTGTGCCATTTTCAAAATGGTTGCACAATTTGACAAAGCTTTTGTGCAGTTTGTATTCCGCGTTCTGCAAAAAACCTAAAAATTTTGTTCTCTCCTTTTTTTCTTACAGGTAGAACAAGTGAAATTACTAGATAGGTTCAGCACAAGCAATAAGTCACTGACGGGAACTCTGTACCTTACAGCAACTCATCTGTTATTCATAGATTCAAGCCAGAGAGAAACATGGGTAAGGATAACGAGTATTTGCGGCTCAAAAGCGTTGGTTCTTCAGGTGCATTTATTCTTCCTGATCTGAGGTTGAATTTGTTTACTAAAATGTTCATCTAAGGCAGAAATTATTCCCACATCTTCCTTGTTCATGGTATCATAATAGGTTAATGCTTTGCAGGTTGAATTCTTGCATGACGCTTCCGCAGTTTAATTGGGTAACGCTGAAAATGTTCACTTCAAGTTGCTGTAATTTCTTCTATAACCTTCACTTGTATTACTGAGTGAATATGTGGGAGTTTTCTTTAAGCAACTGACTGGCACTGCAGTTCAGAGGCAGGGAGACTGCTACATAGTTTAAGCATCATGTTTAAAATTTCTGCATTAACTTACCTTGTATATAGATCCTTCATAGATCAAATGAGGCACTAAAATCCAAAGATCTCAGCTTTGGTGAAATACTAAAGATCCCATGCCCTTTTTTAGAGTGGTAGGCAGCTGTTGCTTTACAAGCATTCATCTCTGGAATTAAATAGCTTAGAAGGGGCTGTAGCTTCTTGGTGACCACTACCAACATTGTATAATCAAAGTTAGCTAGCACAGAAACTCCCAATATTTTTTCTGCTCAGTGCCTTGGTGGCACACACGTGGTCATCAAGTTCTAGCTTCCACTGTAGCCCAGCTGCTGCCTGACTGAGTTCCGTGCCTGAAGTCTGTTATCTTCCAGGATGAAATCCCATTTCCTTGTGTGTGGTTACCTTTTTTGTAGGTTATTACCTGTGTATTTTTTTAGATTACCCTTAATCCTGTATCCTGGTTGTCTGACTGGATGCCTCAACAGTGCTTTCAATAAGTTACTTTTTGATTATTTGTTCTTGGATACAATGTATAATTTTGAATACAAAACTGTTATCCTTTAAAATAAAATGGTTATTGGGGAAAATATGCTTCAGATGCATTACTTGCATCTCTTTGTGCACTATTTTAAAAGGTTTCATTTGGGGGAAATTGAGCCTATACTCTGAATATTGCATTTCTGTGATGATAAAGCAAGTATTAAGTAGAATGATAGTGTCTCCAAGATACAGTCTCTTCTAAATGTGTATTTGGCAGCATAGTTTTCCTATGCCTGAGTCTGATAAATATTTAAGAGGAGATGATTGCTTCAGTGAGGTAATTGAAATACTATCAAGAACATCTTGCTCAGTTGAGGTAATGTATCTGTGGCTTTCTTCCCATGCTTGAGTAGCTGTTACTTTGTCATATATTTTCCTGATTTTTTTGCAGATTTGCCAGACAGATACATCTATGAAGGGCTTTTGTATATGATTTACTGTGAAAATCTTCTGGTAAAGTTGTTGAGAGGCATTTAGCTGAAAGACTGTCATGTCTACATAACAATGAGTAATACAGGAGATTTTTTTCTTATCTCCTGTTCATTCTGTAGACGTGAAACACTAGAATTCTAAGATCTTCAACATCTTCTGTATCTTTCAGACTTTGAGTCATTTTCCCGAACTTGCTTATTTTGCCTGAAAATTCTGATGTTTTTGTGGATCCTAAAAAAAAACCCCACAAAAAAACCCCAACCCTCCCCCCCCCCAAAAAACAACAAACCACATATAAAACCCCAACCATCCATGTTTGGACCCTACCTATTTACATGTGTGCTTGTCAGTTAGCAAAGTTACAGAAGAGGTCTGAACAACTGCAATGGAGTCTTACTTCTCGCTTTTGCATTTAGGATATTTACTGTTACAAACATTAGGTAATGCTTCAAAATATGAGGGAAAATAAATACATTTAGACAAATTACAGTATCATGACCAAAACACCATCTTGGATTTCTTCTTCTAATTTTCTTTCTCCTTATACCTAAATTATTTACAAAATCCATATTTATCATTGCTTAATGTCTTATGCCTGCTCTTGCAAATAGGACGCTGTTCCTATTTTTCATTGGTGTGTTTACACTGAGTTCTTGTATGCCACAGATACTACATCATCACATTGCTGCAGTGGAAAAACTTCCCTTGACCACCTCTGGCTGCCCCCTCGTCATCCAGTGCAAGAACTTCAGGATAGTTCACTTTGTTGTTCCCAGAGAAAGAGATTGTCATGACATATATAACTCTTTGCTTCAGCTCTCAAGAACAGGTAATACTTACAGCTGTAAAAGACTTTGCAGTATATGCCTGTATTACAGGTTGGTGGTGGGGGACTGAAATCCATGGCTTTTATGGGTTTTTTTATAAATGTGCATTATATGAAAGTCTTTTAAATGGATTTGGTATGTGAAAGATTTGTAATGATTAAGTATTAATCTGCATACTAGTTCAGAAGGCTTTGCAGGTCACTGATTCACTTAACAGAATGTGAGATTCTGTCCTTTGCATTTTTGGTGTTACCCTTGAAGTGGTGACTATAAACATGTATAATCTATCTTAATTGGATTATCACAGACAGAATGCTACTAAGCAAACACTAACTTGTTACTGATTTCATGCAGTTTCAAAAATAAAGCTAAGTTCTGATGCTAAAATACCACTATCAATTCAGTTTTACAGCAGACTTCTGTCACCTCGTCTGGTCTTGCATTTTCTGCTTTGTTTAGAACAATGTAAAATGTCATCTGTGATAAGTGAACAATGTAATAGGAAAAACATTAAGATTTTTTTAAAGCTTTTTTTGCTTTAAATGAAACTTTAAAACATTGCTTATAGAGCAAAAATTCTGTTCTTGCCTCCGATGATTTTGTTCTTTCAGCTTTTTTGAAGTCTTCTGATAACTCTGCCTTTTCTTTAATTTTGTCCTTCATTTTGTGACTTCAGTTTTGTCTTTCTGGCTTTAGAAATGTCCATGCTGACTTAGGTCAAGCACACGCAAAGTTCTCATAACCAACCTTAATTAAATATCTACAATATTGTGCATTAACTGTATGATAGTTGCAGAATAAATATTTCAAGTGTGTCAAGTGTCTATTTGGTTTTGCTTATGAGAATCTTAAACCTTGAAACTTCTTCTGCAATTTGGGCAATTTCAAGACTTGTCTACTGTGCTACCTTTCTCCACTCAGACATTTTTAGGGACAAATTGTTACATAGTCTCTTTCTTTGCCTTTTAGCAAAATATGAAGAACTTTATGCCTTCTCCTACAATCCAAAACAGAATGAATCTGAGCAAGTCAAAGGTTGGCAGCTTATTGATCTAGCAGAGGAATATAAGAGAATGGGAGTGCCAAATACTAACTGGCAGTTGTCTGATGCAAATCGTGATTATAAGGTAACTGTTGTAATGGTAATGTGGTTTGCTCTGCATCTGTTTCTGCTTTATCCTCTGCCTCCAGTCCTATAGAAAACAGTCTAATACTATGAAATCATTTGCCTTGCAGCATAAGTAAAAACTTGCATGTGGAGAGAGTTAAGGCCTTAATCAATGTGCAGCCTCACAGCTTTCTGACTGAAGTTTATTCAGAGGCCTTATGGAGAAAACATGGATGCATGTGTTCTTTGGGATTGTTTCTAGAGTATACTTACCTGTTTGAAGCCCAGCCCCAACAATCCAGGTGTTCTGCAGCTTTATTACTTCTCAACTGAGAAGGACTCTACATTAGCATTTGCAATGTTGGATGTAGGAGACAGTGGCTGTGGTGGTGCAGCTGATTGCCAGGCTGAATTTAGTCTTTCTTTGTAGTCTCCAAATACAAAAAATGAGGGAAATAATTTAAATATTTTATTTGAAACACATTCTTAGCATTTCTACTGAAGAGTTGAATTCTTGAGAGGTGAATGCTAGTGTAGTAGTGATTTTCACCAGTGCTTGGTTCTATGTCATTGGGACATGTCATTGGGAGAAGTCAGCATGGATTCACCCAAAGGAAATCATGCCTGACCAACCTGATTGCCTTCTATGACATCATTACTGGCTGGTTAGATGAGGATTTTACCTGCCTTGACTTCAGCAAGGCTTTTGATACTGTCTTTCTCATTAGGACATTCAGGAAGAGTGGGCTTGATGCATGGACAAGGAGGTGGATTGAGAGCTAGCTGTGTGACAGATCTCAGAGGGTGGTGATCAACAGATCAAGGTTGAGTTGGAGGCCAGTAACCAGCGGTGTCCCCCAGGGATCAATACTTAGCCTGGTCTTGTTCATTGTGTTCATCGATGATCTGGATGAGGGGACAGAGCAAGCAAGCTCGCTGGTGACACAAAACTGGGAGGAGTGGCTGACACTCCAGAGGCCTGTGCTGCCATTCAGTGTGACCTGGACAGGCTTGAAAGTTGGGCCAAGAAGAGCCTCATAGGTTCAGAAAGATCAACTATAGGGTCCTGCATCTGTGAAGAAAGAACCCAAAGCATCAATATAGGTTAGGCATGGGTCTGCTGGAAAGTAGTTTGGAGGAGAAGGATCTTGGAGTCCGGATAGACAGTAAATTATCCATGAGCCAGCAATGTGCCCTTGCTGCCAAGAAGGCAAATGGAATCCTAGGTTGCATAAAGAAGAGTGTGGCCAGTAGATCAAAGGAGGTCATTCTTCCCCTCTACTCTGCCCTGGTGAGGCCACAGCTGGAATACTGCATCCAGTTCTGGTCACCCCAGTTCAAGAGAGACAGGGAACTACTAGAGAGAGTCCATCAGAGGGCAACGAAGATGACTGGGGGATTGGAGCATCTCCCTTATGAGGAAAGGCTGAGGGAGCTGGGACTCTTTAGCTGGGAGAAGAGAAGGCTGAGAGGAGACTTTATCAATGAATACAAGTATCTAAAAGGTGGGCACAAGGAAGATGAAGACAGGTTCTTCTCAGTAGTTCCCAGTGTCAGAACAAGGGGCAACGGGTACAAGTTGGAACACGGAAGGTTTCATTTAAATATGTGCTCCAGGTTATCCTACTTCAGTGTAAGAGTTGGACTAGATGATCTCTAGAGGTCCCTTCCAACTCCAGCAATTCCGTGATTCTGTGTAACTTAGATATCAGTTTTTACTGCCTTTGTTCTTGGCTTGTCTCCTATTCTGAGCTATTTACATGTATGTAGAAAAACACATTAGCTGTATCCTTTCTATAATTTCACCTAACATCTCTCAAATTGGATTTGATAAAACTAGGATAGACTTTTTGCCTTGTACATAAAATTATTTTTGTGTATCTGTGTCTTTCAGATTTGTGAAACCTATCCCAGAGAGCTTTATGTTCCCAGAACTGCAAGCAAACCCATAATTGTTGGCAGCTCCAAGTTCAGAAGCAAAGGAAGATTCCCAGTGTTGTCTTATTATCATAAAAATAAAGAGGTATAGTGTATCTTCCTCTTAATGCAAGTGTACTGTAAAGTATGTCTCAACACTTGGCAGAAGTTCAGGGTAGGGAAGGAGATGATACAGTGACTTGAATGAGAATGGTGTAACTCATTATAACCTTAAATACAGCTGATGCTGCTGGTGTCTGACAGGATGCTGAGTTAAGCTAGGCAAGTTTAAAAGACATCCTTAATTAATTGATTGAGTCTCTTCTTTCACAAACTGTTCTTAAGATAACTGAGGGTAGCCTTTTGTCAAATTATCTTCCTTGGTATTACAATAATAAAATCTGTTAGGTCAAAATGAGCATTAAAAAAAAAAAAAAAGCCAGCAAAAGAATAGAAGTAGTTCTTTGAGGAGGATGAGAAATAAGATTTTGCAGGGTTTGGTAGAGAATAGTGTGAAGCAGCATTTACCTGTCTCGGCTGGGGGGGTATCCTTGAGAAGGTAGAAAAGGATTGTCACTTTGTTGAGCTGTATTTGTGAAGGATGAGTGTTAAGCTGCTAGATGCATTTAAAGATAATTACTATTTAGAAGAGGCACCTGATACCTTCTGAAATGCATAATTGAAAATTATATGATAAAAATTATATCAGATGATCATGTTGTAATTGAATTAATAAAATCATACTTGCAGTAGTAAAAACAACCATAAATTTATTTCATATTAGGAAAGTAACTTGCTTTCTTAAAGTGTATTTTTTTCCAGCTTATACTTCTTTGGAATTCTTATACTTGGCCAAAGTCCATTATGTAAACTGGTATCTTGCCCATGTAGAAAAGCCTGAAAAAAAACATTTTTATAAACCTTTAGATTTAAGTTTTAGGTATTGTGTTAGCAAGTCTGCAAGTGATGTGCTTAGAAAATTGGAAGACCAACTTTTTTCAGTTTAGTGTTGTCATCTGCCAAATGAAACAATTTGTTTCAGCATCTTTTTAGAATTATGCAAAGCTTTTCAACTACAGAGATCATACAGGTGCTAACTTGTTTTCTGTGGCAGGCTGCAATTTGCAGATGCAGTCAACCTCTCTCAGGATTCAGTGCCCGGTGCCTGGAAGATGAACACATGTTGCAAGCCATCAGTAAAGCAAATCCTTCAAATCGCTACATGTATGTCATGGACACCAGGCCAAAGGTCTGTACTTCAGGTTCTGCAGAAGAGCCTCTCTTCCTGAGGGGACTTTTTGCAAGGTCTTGTAGTGAGTGGACAAGGGGTAATGGATTAAAACTGGATGAGGGGAGATTTATGTTAGACATTAGGAAGAAATTCTGTAGTGTGAGTGTGGGGAAGTTCTGGAACAGGTTGCCCAGGGAATTTGTGGATGACTTCATCCCTGGAAGTGTTCAGGGAGAGATTGTATTGGACTTTGAGCAACCTGGTCTAGTGGGAGGTGTCCCTGCCCATGCAGGGGTGTTGGAACTAGGTAATCCTTAAGATCCCTTCCAACCCAAACCATTCTGTGATTAATGATGAGAAATTTTTAGTTAAATATTACTCAGTAAAGGGCAAAAATGTTCTTTAAAGGTAAAATTAAGCCTCTCAATTCAGGTGTTTAAGTAATTGCTTTCTTCAAGTTAAACCCCTCTCAGGACTGAGCTAGAATTTACTGAATATGCTAGTGAACTTCTGGGGAGGTGCATTTAAAAATATACTTAAAACATAGTTAATAAGGGAATAGTTGAGTGTGATCTAACTCATTGTAACTGTTTGAAATTAAATTCACTAAATGATGAGCTGTGTTTGGGTTTATTTTAGAGTGGGAGGGAGAACAGTGTTCTTTAAAAATGTTCAGTGAAAACAGCTCATTCTGTGTGTCTTAGCCTTAGCAGAAGGTTCATACAAGGCTGCTTCACACCATCACATCTCTCACACCTAAACACCTTGGAGAAAAACCTTCAGGGGTAAAACAAACCTGAGACAGGGCAAAGCTAATTTCCTTATTTGGAGGACTCAAGACAGCTCTCCTACCCTGATTTTGACCATAGATTCCCAAGAGTCCCACCATCCCTGCTCCCTCAAGTTTTCCCTGCATGCTTGCCTACTTCTCCAAGAAGTGTGAGCTCTGAGCAACGTGTGTAACCCCCATGTGCTCTTCAAGTAGTTCACTGATTGGACTTCAAGCAACCTGATCTAGTGGGAGGTGTCCCTGCCCATGCAGGGGGGTTGGATCTAGATGACCTTTAAGGGCCTTTCCAACCCTCATCAATGTTTACAAATATGTAAGGGGTGAGTGTCAGGGGGACGGAGTTAGGCTTTTCTCAGTGATGACCAGTGATAGGACAAGGGGTAATGGGTGTAAATTGGAGCATAGGAGGTTCAAGGTGAATATCCGAAAAAATTTTTTTACTGTAAGAGTGACAGAGCACTGGAACAGACTGCCCAGGGAGGTTGTGGAGTCTCCCTCACTGGAGACATTCAAAACCCACCTGGATGAGTTCCTGTGTGATGTACTCTAGGTGACCCTGCTCTGGCAGGGGGGTTGGACTAGGTGATCTCTCGAGGTCCCTTTCAGCCCCTAAGATTCTATGATTAGCTAGCGAGAGGTGGGGAATATTCTATTGTACTATTCTGAGGTCATACTCAATCAGTGTCTAATTAAATTGAATTATGTTTGCGTTTTGACCTGTGTTGGAAGGTGTGGGGTAACTTTCACTCCTTACACATTCCACATTTAAATTGATATTCATTTCACTCAAATCTCTGAGCACAGGAACTTCAAAAAAAGGATGTAAATTGAAAATCCTGTGCTGTACAATCTGCACTTTGAGCAGAATTCAGCAGTAGGTCTGTCTGACAGACTGAAACTGAGCCAGCTGTGGGGTTTTTATTGTTGTAATTTTTACAACTGCAGCAATTTATTATCTTTTTACCCCCCAAATTGACATTTTTAGTATGTCTGGAAAGTGCAAGTATGGTTAAGTCTGGGTCTTTTTTCTTTTTTAGGTGAATTGCTTTGTGGTGTCTTTGCTCAGAAATGTTTGGAAATAAGATTTGTTGGTGGGAATATGGAGAATAAGAAATTACTAAATTTAAATGCATCATTCAGTTATGTCAGCTCTAAATACAGCTTTTTATGTACAGTTGTTGCTTTTTTCTTAGAGTTGAATGCTTTCAAGTTGATTTGCCACAAACTTAATTCATTAGAATCAGTTTATAGTGCGTGCTCTTGTGTGTTTTTTTTTGTTTCCTCCCCCCCCGCAGTGTATTTCATTGAAATAGCATGTCTTTCGGTCTTTAATTTGAGATTTTTTTTCAACCACTGGTTTTCAGTATTTTTATTTTGCTTTTTTTTTTAAGCTTAATGCAATGGCAAACAGAGCTGCTGGGAAGGGCTATGAGAATGAAGACAACTACTCTAACATTAGGTTCCAGTTTGTTGGCATTGAAAATATTCATGTAATGAGATCCAGCTTACAAAAACTTCTGGAAGGTATGTTCTGCCTTTACTATAATAGTGTATAGGAAAATAGGATAAATATCTTTCTGAAGCCTTTAATAGTAGCATACACAAACTGTATTGATATTTATGTAGCTCTATGTTTGGTACCACTTTGCTGTGCTCTGCTGTAATGAATTACCTTAAACCTTTTACCTTTAAACTCTAAACCTGGTGAACAAAGTTATTTTGAAGAAAATTAACTAAGAGTCACATTTGTCTTGGGTGATGACCAGTGATAGGACAAGGGGTAATGGGTGCAAAGTGGAGCATAGGAGGTTCAAGGTGAATATCCTAAAAATTTTTTTTACTGTAAGAGTGACAGAGCACTGGAACAGGCTGCCCAGAGAGGTTGTGGAGTCTCCTTCATTGGAGACATTCAAAACCCGCCTGGACACATTCCTGTGTGATGTACTCTAGGTGACTCTGCTTTGGCAGGGGGGTTGGACTAGGTGATCTTTTGAGGTCCCTTCCAACCCCTAGGATTCTATGAAATGCCATTTAACTTCTGTGTACCAGCTTCCCCTAGACCTATTGAACCAAATGTTCTCAAATAAGGAATGTGATGCTGATATCCTTTCCTTTCAGAAGCCATTGTAACTGGGACTGTCCTCAGTTTATTTGTACAAAACAACTGTTACTCATTCTTCAGCATGTGTCCTGCTCATTGACTCTCTGTCTTATCTTCCTGATTTTCTTCAGCATCTAATGATTCCATTTGCAAGCAGAATATAAGACATGATCTTTCCCAGTCATCCTTTTCTAATGGGACCACA